TCCACCTTCGGGGCTGCAGGTACTTGCCGAGCCACCTGGGCCTCTTTGGCCCCAAAGACGTGGTGGGTATCGTGCGCGCCCTTGGGCGCCTGCAGGCGCGTCATGGCGCGTCGCGCAAAGCGGCGCTTTTCTGCGTAGCATTGCTGTCCCGGTGTTCACTTTGAGAACAACTAGGTCCCCTAGTAGTGTGCTTTTACCAACTTTTTTGGGGGAGGGTTCCCCTACTACAATAGACGCCAGAAAGAAGGGTACCCTTATCTACTGGAGGACCTAGACAAGCACCAACACTATGGTGGCTGTTTTCCCACCACTGGAGGTCTGAGCGTTGGAGGTCTGAGTGCTACTTGCCTAACCATCACGAACGGAGCCATGGTAAGACGTAAGCATGCCTAACCACTTACTAAGAATCCTGCAGATTGAAGTACTCCGAAACATGTGTCAAGAGAACACACACACACAGACACACCTGGTGGGGTTTGTCGGTTTTCGTGTTTGGTTTCTCCCCACTTTTCTTTTCGGAGAGGCAGACCAGAGGTTTCTTGAACGTCAGGCCTTCAACTTTCCGCACCCATTTTTTGGTTGCCTCATGAGAGCATCCCACATTCTGAGAAGCCAATTCTCAACAGGAGGACACCCTCCCAACATGGAACCTATCTTGGGGTCTCTGGAAGCTCATATTCCTCTACCTGGAGTGTGGCTGCAGAATCTTGAGTAGATGCCAAGCATGCTAAAGATCCTCTGAAATAATTATGACCACACATCTGGGTCGAAACTTGCACTGGGCTCATTCTCTTGACTGTCTCTGGTGCTCAAAGTCAGAAAATGGGTTTTCCCTTTAACCCACCATTCAGGGGGGTGACTTTGGTCCTGATAACGAGGCCAGCTGCACGGCTTCGTACCTTTGGAACGTGTGGGAAACCGGGAATGTCCGATCCTCGTTTCAGGAGCGGGATGAGGCGTCGCTGCTGGCCTGTGCCGGGCTGGGCCCCCGAAGCCTTGCCAGTCGCCATTTGTCCAACCGGGTTCCCTTGCAGGTGTTCAACATCTCTTGGGCCATGAGATGAGCTTCCTCCATGTGAGTTCCTTAAGGCAAAAGTACAGGGAGTTCCTGGTTTTTGGCTTTGGGCCCGATTGGGCGCAACCGCATCTTCCAATGACAAGCGCCGGCCGAGTCTGGGAACGTTCAAGTGTTGTGCTTTTGTTTATCATTTGTCTGATGAGCTCGATTGGTTTGGCAGTTTTTGACCTGCTTGTAAAGGATGCTAACAAATGACCACTAAGCAGTGCCCATATTCGGTTCATTTGCGTTATGGTACAGACAAAACGAAAGCTGTTTGCACGTGGCGTCGAGCCAACCGCCTGCAGGGTTTTTTGGGACCCCACTGCTCACCGAATGTGAACTCGTCACAGAAACTTGGCTTTTGAAGTTCTGGCAGGATATCATTTGGCAGATCCCTTGCTTTAAGATGTGAACCATCCATGAGAATTATCAAGAAAGCATTCATTTGGGTATGTGTCAAAATACGGGAGCCCAAAATGGCGGCTTGCCCTTTGGTTCCCTTGAAACCAAACTGAAAAGGACGCCTCAAGAGTGTACAAACTCATTCATTGATGTTGTAAGACCATGATTGTCCAAGCCAGGTCCGCTTATCCCTTTTTTTGTGTGGCAGATTGCTAGCCATCTGGGCAAACGTGAACAAGATGTGGCAATTTTGTGTGGGATTTTAGAGGTGCGTCCAATGATTTACTGTAATGTGTGTATCCGTTTTTCTTGCGGCTGAGGAAGGTTTCAATGGAGCTGCACAAGTACACTCTGGGCCTGCGGCCTCAGTTTTTTTACTGGCATAATCTTGGAATCTTCCTGAATCAAAGCCCAAGAAGGGCCAATAATCAGTGGTCGTTGAGCCTGTGCGGGGGTGGACCAATCAACGTAGCAGGCATGTGCCACTGAGTTTGCTTAGGGGTTTGCTCTTTAGAGTAGGGCCCTTTGCTGCTTGCTACCCCTTCAACCATGGTCCAAAGATCAAGTGACCATGGTGCTTTGGGAATCCACCTTTTACGAAGTGCAACGAAAACCCAATGCCAAGGGATGTTGCTGCCGACTTAGCAGCAACATGTGTTCGATTCGTTGCGGAGGGCTGGGTGGACCAGCCCAGATCACATTGCCTGCTGTGGCTTCCCTTCTTCACTTCCACTTTTTGGGCTTCCGAGGGTCGGATGGCCCTGGCGAAACTGGTCTGCCAGTCTGCAGGTCAGCTCGCCGAGCTGCTCACCGCCTTTGCCCGCTTGCGGTTGCGAGAGGCGAAGGGGGGCGAGAGGCAAAGCGAAGCTACTCACACTGACTTGGGGTGGGGTTTGCCCCTTGAAACGACCATAGTCGAGGGTCATTGTGAGGAGGTCGCTTAGATGGACCCAGCTCAATCTGCGTAACCTATTGCGAGCACAGCGGGGCGGGTAGAAGGAGCGATTTGCCTCATGCTGAAGGTGCCTTACTTGGGGTTTTCATATTTTTCTAGTTTGGGGCTTGAAGCAGTTGCCCCAGATTCTGAATGATTGCAGTTAAGGATTGAATTCCATGAGCAAAGCAAGGGCAACCATGGGAATAGTTTGTGCCTGAATGGCTGTATTCACTGATAGTCAATATCACTATCTATCACTACTTGGCTGACACTTCTGCCCTTGCTGTGGCTTTGAATCAATGTAGACAGGGACAGCTAGTTCGGTATCGGATGACTTGGTAGTTTCTCAAGACATGAGGCGGCTTTTTTGTTTTCTGCCGGCCAAATCCAAAACGGGTTCCAACGCATTTTGAGACCGTTCCTGCCTTTGCGCAGCGAGTTCACTGTCTTTTTGTGTTTGGTATAGTTTGTGGCTGGCTGACAAATCGGCGTGAATTCGGAGGGAATGCCGAGAGTGGGCACAAAGTCATGTGAGCCATAGATGGAGGCTTTCCAGCCACACATAGGTGCGGACATCCACTCTCCGTGTTCTTTACATGGTTTGGGGAAGACTCCTTGGAATGCCAGGCTTTGAGAATAACTCAGTTGTCAAGCACATGGTTGCTGGGAAGCACATTTTAAGGCAAGCTGCGGAAAAGAGCAGACTCCTGCCGGCGCCGATGGCAAACGGAGGGCCTTCCCAAACTCTGTCTTTGTCGGGCACCCTTTTCTCTGTTCAACCCGAAAGACATAAATGGCCAACGAAAATGACTCTGACGTTTAGCATAACAGGGTGGGCAGACATGCAACTTCAGAGGGGTCACCCGAAACAGAAGCAAGGGAAACTACCGCCCCTCAATGATGCGTATGTGTTCGCAGTTGCCAATGATGCGTTGAGCAAAGTGGAGGGAGGTGCAGAAAGCGGCATCTAACGTGTGCGCTACCAATCAGCTGCGGAAATCCAACTTTACGACCATTCATGGAAACCCATCTTAGGGACCCCCCACAGGTATTGCTTACCTAAGGCCTTTGTGTTGGGGTGTTCAACCCAAACACAGCTTGCTGCCTTGAGGGCGTCCGTGGGGCACTCGAAGGAACCATCTCTGTATCACGATGCGTCGAAGTCCCATAAGGATTGGGCTTGACTCCAAAACAAAACGAGCTTTCGAAGAAGCCGCCAGATTTGCGTATGGGCTGGACACAGATGTGCTCAAACCTACGGCCGCTTTGGCCGTTTCTTGTGGCTCATAAGCTGCTGTGCAAGGCAAGAGTTGCCGCACGGGGCTGCGGCCTTTTTGTGGGAAGCACATGTTTGTCTTCATGTTTCCATGTTTGTGTTTTCCTCAACTCGTGAACCTCGATTGAGAAGGTATGCGAAACCTCAAATAGTCAATGGGATAATACCAGCACAGAATGAAGGCAACCTTCCCCGCTCCAGAAGGAAGGCTCCTTTGTTTTGAACTGATAATCCTTTGGTTCCCCGGAGCCTCAAACTTGACGCATGTTTAGTCCGTGCGGTTCTCTCCTGCGAGCACAACTCAGCTGAAGAACGTAGGGCTGTCCTTGAGCCAAATGGTTCCAACTCCGGGGGTGTGAACATCAAGCACCCCATTTTGAACTGTGGGGCCTCTGAGAGAGCCTTGAGCCTTGAGCCTGTCATGGCTCCCAGCGACTGGGACAAGGCCGGCGAAAAAAAAACAAAAACGAAGCCGGGGGTGAGGTGCGGTGGGAATTTTGAGGCAACCGTTTGGATGCCGACGAAATAAGAAGCAAGCAAAGCAAAGCTATCCCATGGGTTTGGTTAGATGTGGTTATATAACTTGTTTTGCGAGACTTCAGAGCATCCACCACAGTATTTGGATTTGGCTGTGGTGTCACATTGTCCGCTGGTTGCTTTTGCGGATTGGACTTCCGAACGCCTGGCAACATGTCATTGTTCTCTAAGATGGCAAGCCTAGTTTGGTTTGAAAGGGAAACGACAGGTACACCCACCATTGGACCGCTCAGATCCATTCAAGGTCTCCCCAAGCTCAGATCCAGTTTGGCCTACCCCCAAGCAACACCTGCAAACCGCAGACAACTGAAAGGGTTAGGTTTGGCGTTAAGAAGCGGTTAAAGGGGGGTGGCAGGGTGGTGCGACATGCGCATCGGATCGCAGGTTTCCGCTGGTGTCAGCGTTTTTTCCTGTTCCATCACAGCTGGACAGCCCAGCCTCGCTGGACAGCCCAGCTTGGTCCAAACAAAGCCAAGTCTGCTGGCCACCGTGCCCAACAACGTGTCCTGTTCTCCCTGAAAAAATGTGCCGGGGTTGCCCTTCAGCCCTGGATTTGAGCCTTACGAAGACCTCTGGTGAGGAGGACCGGATTTGTTCCAAGACTGCTGTCCTGAACTTCTTTGTCGCTTTTTGGATTTGGATTGTTTTAATTTCAGTAGTAAGCAAAGTGTATGGTTAGTCTTCTGATCAATCCACTCGGGAAGAGACTACCATTTTGGGCTTTCCTCAAAGTAAAGGCTGCATGCCTCTTGGATGCCAAGCTGGGCCCTTGAAAAGGAGTTGGCCACATGGGGTTCCCAACGTTTCCCCATTTTGTGGTTTCAAGCAAATCCTTACCTTTTGCCCATTTGAACATGATGTTCTGCTTGATTGCTGGTGTTTCCCTTGGTTGGAAATCCAGAACTCCAAGTCCAAGAGAACGCTCCTCAAGGCTGCAGAAGCCTTGCTCTTCTCCATGTTTGAATCAGTTCACAGTGCAATTCCCGCAATTGCAAAGACATTAGAACCTTCTGTTGGACTCATCAAAAGGATTGCAAGGCGGGATGTCAGAGTACCAAACGGTAGACAACAAATCCACCTATGTAGGAAGGTGCTTTGTGTAGTACAGACAACGCCAGCTTTGACCACGTTTGAATCATTACCCCATGATGTAATTCGAAAAGCAGCGTGGCACCCCAGTGATGGGATTCTTTCCAGGGCAACATGCTGTCTTGGACCATGGCTGGAAGTTCCCGGGGTATTTTCCCAGTGAACAACCTGCCTCACATCCCAGCAACCCTCCAAACAATTCCCTCACACGAAAACCAGCCCTGAACCTCCAAAATCCCAGACCCTTCAACCCTCCTCTCCCCTCCCCCCCCAAACGGCAGCCACACACCAGGCCGGTGAGGTTCTGGACCCCGCGGACTTCCACGCGGAGGACGAGACCTGCGCCAAGGCGGGTGTCCTGTTGGTTTTTACCGTTAGATACCGAGCAAGAAAACTGTCTTAAGAAACTTGGCGGTGAGGACGGGTTTCGTGAGTTCTAGGCATCATCATACGTATGGAGTACTTGGACCGTCTGGGCCAGACTCTTGAAGCACTCCAAAACAACCCCTAGAGGTACTTTAAGGGGTGGGGTATGCCAGGCAAGTGCAACCATGGTTAGTTGCAAACCACACACTTTGGTTGAGTCCCCCAAGTGGGGTTATAAACATGGTTATATACTAGCCACTTACTATGTGCCCTGCCCGTTCCAGTACGATGAGTACTTGTACCTTGGGGAATACTACCCTAAATTTCTGTTTTGGACACCGGTTTTGGGTTCCTTCTGCTGTTTTGCAAGGGAGTACACGAATGAACGCGCGGGATTGAGGAGAAGGCAAAGCAAAGCGATAACGCGTCGATTCAGGTTGTTGAATCAAGGACGTGCGTGAAATAGGCTAGATTCACCATGGTTTGCATCACCTTTCTTGGGTGGGAAGCCAAAAGGAACCGTTAGAAACCTCGGTCGCTACCGACGCGCAAAAGCTCGGGGTTGGGGATAGTGATGGATCCTTTAGTTGTCGACTGCGAGGATGTACTCCGCAAGACATGACAAGAAGATTTGTCTAATGGTTTGGGTTCCACGCTGCAGTGCGGTACGGGAACCATTGACCATGACCCAAGGAGCCCCGACAGTGGATTTCTGGCCCATGGGAGGTGAAATTCGTGACTATGGAAGCCAGAAACAGCCCGGCATTCCAGCGCACACCGCTTGCCGCAAGTCGGAGCATGTAGAGATGGTTTGTTGCAAGAATCTACCTTTGAGCTTGTGTCGAACAGCGACAGAGTTTTAGACTTACATCTTCCAGTAGATTTGGAGCCTGACACAAGCTGGAATTCAATCCAGGACCCATCTCAGTGTAAACAAGCAGCACCTGGTGCTGCGAGAGCCCACAACACCTGCTTGTTGCATCAGCGTCGAGGGGCATGGTACGTCAGGTCAGCGGTTAGTGACCATGAATGACAACCCACTTCCCTTGGTTGGGTTGTGTAAGTGTTTGTTTGTGGGATACAAGTTGTAGGAAAGGCGACTAACCTCTCAGCCGTCCTACAGAATCCTACCAAATCCCTTGCCTTTTGCTCGGGGCGCAGGTTTTGGCGATGGCCTTCGGCAAAATGGAGCCCAAGAAGCGGCCAAGCCCGAAGGCGCATGCAGCTAAGCCTGCGGCACCCCCGGCGGCTGCGGCGCCTGCGGCGCCTGTGGCGCCTGTTGAAGCGGTGGCATCTCGGTGAATTTGGGAGGCCAAGGGGAGCATATTTTGCAGTGCTGGTCTGGTCGCTGTGTTATGTCTATATGCTGTGTCCGAAAGGTAGCCGCAAGCTCTCTGACGCTTATCCGAGGGAGGGCGCAGTTATACTCATGTTATCCAGGAAACAGCTGCGACGTTGCATGATCCGACTATATATCAAGAAACAAGCTATATTATATATGAATATATACGGCATTGTGGAACCCAACGCCACACCCATATTTTCATTCATAGGCGGTGTGAAACTGTTTTTGCCCATTCGCATATCGTGCCAATCGGCAGGACGTTGACACCTGTGATGGCAGGCAGCTACTGAGACAGTTGCAACCGGCAAACGTTGTATGTGAGTGTTTTTGTTGAGGGTGCACTTTGTGGGGTTGGCGTAGGGGCAAGGGAAAACAAAGGGATCAAAGGGACAAAAGGAATCCGAAACATCTGACAAGGAAGATCACCAGCTGCCAGACTCGTCAGCGCATATATCGGGAGGGGTCGAGTAATCCCAACTCGATGGTGTGGATTGCAGGGGCGGGTTTCCTCGAGATCCACATAAAATCCAACCCCTCCCCACTGTTTCCTCAACAAAAGGCCCTAAAACGGCAAAGGCCTAACATGGCGGTAGTTTGGGGAAGTCGGGGAAGTCGGGCTAGGGTTCCTTGGCATAGAGAGGACGCGACGCGAGCCAGCCCTCCTCCCGAGGCTGCTAAAGCAAGTGAGAAGGCAAGCGAGAGGAAGGCAGCGTGTGGGTCGGGAAGCGGATCGAGTTTGGCTTGGAGTTAAAGCTATGGAGGGTACCGAGGATGTTCCGCGCCTTCGAACGACCAAAACATTGGGTTTGGTGTAGTTTGCTTGTGCCCGGAGCTTTGGAGCAAGCCTGCAGATTGCAACCTGATGCAAGTCTGTGATAGGACCTATGACGCTTCTCCTTTTTGGGGTACAACGGAAATCTATATGGAGGGGCGGGGGTCAGCTATGGGGTTGATCGTCGCCTCACTGCGGTTTCGTGCTAAGATCTGCCACCAGTCATAGCCAGGGTGGGCACACATACACAAGCACGCACAAAGGACGAGGATAACTGGCTGGTTTTGAGGCGTTCTATGGGGCGCCCAATATAGGCCGACTTCGCCATGGCTGCCTGTCGCCCACAAGAACATCTTGCTTCCGCCCTCAGTGGCCGTTTGTGGGAGTTAGTGGGGATGCACCTGCTGATGTAGCGGCCCCTTTTGGGGAATACTCCCTTGTTGTTGCCTTGCCTTTGTTCCTCCCACCGTTTCAAGATGCTGTGCAGGGCATGATTACATCTGTGCGGGTTCACGTTGTACTTCTTGCTTGGATTATGGATCCGGCAAAGCAGCCCTGCTCGGGCCAAGCCGATCCAGCCATCATGCACTTGGTCCTAGGCTTATGCAGCCTCCTTTGCATTGCGTACTCGCATCCCAAGATGTGCTGCAATCGCCTTGTGTTTGTGTCGGGTTTCCTTGGAGTCGCCCACCGCCTGCCCGCCCGCCCGCCCGCCAACTCGGACGCTCGCTCGCTCGCCCGCCCGCGGCGCGCCTCGCGCGCACACACACACACACACACACACACACACACACACACACACACACACACACACACACACACACACACACACACACACACACACACACACACACACACACACACACAGATCAACACACACATCAACTCACACATCAACATACACCTGCGCATGCACATGCACATGCACATGTGCTCGCTCGCACATGCACATACAAACAAACACATACATCCATATGCACACGCACAGAGACACACACACAGAGACACACACACACACACAGAGAGACACACACACACACAGAGAGACACACACACACAGAGACACACACACACAGACACACAGACACACACACACACACCACACACACACACACCACACACACATACGGACACAGACACACGCATACAGACACACACACACACAGACACGCACACAGACATACAGACACACAGACACACAGACACGCAGACACACAGACACACAGACAGCCAGACACACACACACACACACAGACACACAGACACACACACACAGACACACACACAGACACAGACACACACACACACAGACAGGCACACACACACACAGACAGGCACACACACACAGACAGACACACACACACACAGACAGTCACACGCACACACAGACCCAGACACAGACACAGACACAGACACAGACACAGACACAGACACAGACACACAGACACACACACACACACACAAATATGGCGATGGGTACTTCTGCGCAACACCGATACTTCTGGCTTCTGGCTGGGTGGATGCGAGACTCAAAGAGTTAGTCCTGTTTCGGCAAGGCTGCGATCCAAGTAGGTCTCGAAGAAGCCTCCTCCTCCAAAGGTGTGTTTCTCGAAATAGGGCAACCTCAAGAATGTGTGTATGTTTTGGTCTTGGTGTCGCTCAAAGACCGTTCAACAGGGGTAGGCCCATGTAAAATGGTTGGTCAGAGCTCACCGATTGCCCGGCAGGGCGAGGATCTTCTGGCAAAGATCAAGGCCCAAGGAAGGAAGGCGACGACAACTCATGCCCGGGTTGCTCCTAAAGACTGTCCGTAGGTCCACGTTTGCCTGACCTAGGTGGGTGTGAGTGTGTGTGTGTGTGTGTGTCCGTGTGTTTGTGTGTTTGTGTGTTTGTGTGTTTGTGTGTCTGTGTGTCTGTCTGCGTGTCTGTGTGTGTTCTGGTATTTTGCTAAGTAGTTTGTTGATTCCTGATGTTGGTTCGTTGGAGGTTACGAGGCGCGGAGGTGGCGGTGAATTTGCGACCATTCGGCGGGTGGCTGGTTGGCCTAGCCGCCCTAGCCTTGGTGTGCACGAAAGGGCGGTAAAGTCTTTACAATTTGGGGCAGGCTTGTGGTATGCTTAGGGTCGGTTAAGGGTGGGTCAGGACTAGGATCTGGGCTTTGTTTCGTGTGGGTGCAGGTTAGGCTTCCGGTCCATGTCAGCCGAATGGGATTTCAAGCTGAACTCCGTTTGAATAGTGTGTGTTCAAGTGAAAGCTGTTTTGCAAAGAAGCTCTGGCCCCCTTGGAACTTGGAAAGGAAACCCCGTGCAATCACATGTGACTGCCGTCCGTGTCAAAATGTGGCAGTAGTCCGCACAATTTCACAAATGGCCAAAATTACGGTTGTTTCCCACACTAAAATCCAAGCTAGTATCCCTACCCCTTCGACAAGCCCCGACATCCTGAGCAAACGGTGCCTCGGGTGTGATGCAAATTGACACGCGGCCACACAACGCGACGCAGTGACACGCAGTGACACGCAGTGACACGCAGTGACACGCTGTTTCGTACCAGGAATGGGGGCAGTCGACGGCATTTCGAAAGCTAGGGCCATGGCGAGCTGAGTTTATGTCTGACATCGCCGAAGAAGGCAAGAAGTGTGGAGACAAAGTTTCAAATGCATTTCACGTGCAGGGCCAAGTAGTGCACAGGAGTACTACACTTGTGTAGTCATTGCAATCGAAGACGACATTGGGAATGTAGGGGAGTTTGAGGGACCGAAGACGGGTTGCTTTCAGATTTGCTGCGTTGTTTTTGGGACCCACAACACATTTTGGTTGTTTGCACGTCGCGCGCAGCTTCTTTAGCGTTGAGGAACATTGAGCATGTGATAAGAAAAATAAACAGTACTATTTTCAATTGATGCTTCGCTTTGCAATTCATTTAATGGTAATTATTATTGAATTGAAAGTTGATAAGACATTTGGGTTGCTGTGAAGTATCGTGCTGTCTTATTCGTATTTTTTCGGTGGAATACAAATTTGTTGCAGAAAGTATGAAACTTGCAGATCCCCAAAGTAGTGGATACAAACACGGTGAAACACTGCAGCTTTGACTTTGGCCATATGGAGACGATGAAGGGCAGGATGAACCGAGGCCAGTCGTCTTTGCAATCCCGGACAACGGCCAAGGCCGTGCGTTAGCCAAGCTACAGCCGCATACATTGGACGAATTCGTTGCAAGGGCTCCAGAGTTCCTGGCCGGCGGCCGGGAAGTCCTGTGTGTTGTTCCACTGAGTCTCAGCCGTGTGGCCTCAGATGATGGTAAAGCGCGATCTACTTGACATGGCCAGTGCTGTCAAAGCGCTGGTTGGGTGTCACTCACGTGTCACTGCGTGTTATTTTTTTATTTCCGTCAGCAGATTCAATGTGACCATCTGAAGCGAAAGCCCAAACTGGGTGAAGAGGGTCCGACCCTCGGCCATCATGGAGTTTACACGTGGCCGTCGCACGAGCTCAGCGCCAAGTTTACACTGGCAGTGCTTCAGCAGTGGACTTGCCTCTCAGGCGATCAAAGTGTCATCCACGATGTGCGCTCCCGGCTGAGCGACCCCGATCATTGCACGCTCGTCGCCGCGGCGGGCGTCACATGAGCAGCCTTTTTGCGGGGACACAGCGCCAGGCGACACTGATGATGATGACACCATAGCAAGTCACATGTTCATGTAATCATGCAATAGTCCTACAATAAGGGCTTGACCTCTCATTTGAGTGCTGACAGGCAAGTGTTACGCGGATGCGCAAGTGACCGTGGTTGTAAAGAGGACGCGGACCCTGTCTTGGGCAGGGGTCCTGATGCGTGAAGCTTCTGCCCACGCCTGGCTCATTTGGCAAAACAAGGGTCCAGACTTGGTGAATATTCTTTTTGCATTCACGGCAGCCAACGAATGGCCCACAAAGTCAGAAAAAAGGTCAGAAGTCAGAGCTCGTCCTGTCCCATCCTGCTTCCCTCTTCTTGGGCACGAGCCTTCAAGTCGACCATGGCGAAATAGTGGAAGCGCAGCAAGATGTGGCTGATTGAAATCTGAACACAAGAAGGGCGGTAGCTCTGTGCTCAGGAGGAATGGCTTTGGGCTTGCAAGAATGTGCTGGAGAACTTTGCTTGCTGTTGCGCAAGTATGCAGCAGTGTTGTCACAGCAAGCTTGCTTGCGCAGAGAGATCCCACCCGTGAGATTTTAGTGAGGCCAGGACACAGTCTGGCGCAGGGCAGGCGCCTAAAAGGCTCCAAGACAAAACGGAAGGCAAAGGCGGCTGCCCCCAAAAAGCAGCAAGCGAAGGAGGAACGAGGTGTGGGACAAAGAGGGCCAACCCCCCCCTCTCGGCGGAACCCGTGACTGCCGGCCATCTGGCGACAGCTCCGCACGTCAGGCAACGTTAAATGCGCTGCGCAGGAACGCAAGCGACCCGCAAACAAACGGCGCCGCGGGTATGACGCAAAGCTGACATGCGGCGACACGACGCGCCAATGCAAGCGACACGCCAATGACACGCAGGTGACACGCGGGTGACACGCGGCTGACACGCAGCTGACACGCAGTACTACTGTTGTTTGCAGCGACCTACGGTTGCTCTGACATACTGACACGCAGGTGACACGCAGGTGACGAGCAAGTGACACGCGGTTGTGAATAGGTGATGCTGGCGATGCGGACGGGTGATGTTGGCAGGAATAAAAGGACGCCGTGTGTGAACAGGTGATGCTGGCGATGTGGAGCGTGTTTCAAAAACACTGTCCCAATCCACCCTGCGCGCGCGTCTCCACCGCTGCCCGCGCTCACTCGCATGTCACTCACGATTGCGTGTCCATGCGCGTTGCTACGTAGAATTCGCGTGCCACTGCGTGTCACTGACATTTGTCCCTTACGAGTCAGTTCTGGGTTCCTTATGAATTCTATTTCATATATGTATCACGTTCTAGGCAGTTTCAACGTGAATTTCAGTAGGTTTTAATAAGGAGGAATTTCTATTTTGAAATTTATAACCATTATATTGCATGTCAAACTTTAGATCTGAACAGGACTTCCTTTCCAATCGAGCTTCGTTTGCAAATCAGTAAACATTTTAATACGGCGCCACAACTTGGATGTGCATTGAACTACACAAGCGCGCTTGAACACAGAAGCTCTTGCAGACAGGCCTGAAACGGGAATGCAAAAGACAAGCCCAAAGAAATCATGCCCCAGATCCTGGAATCACTCCCCAATGGGATGTGTATTTTGTTCTTGGTTCCCGCGAGTTTTTTGCATGATGCGCCTTGTTTGGCAGGTGCAGAGGCAGATGCAGATGCACAGTCTTGCATGTTTGGCCTCCAGATGTTTATTTTCATGAGAAACCGCACGCTCAGGGTAACGTGTTCAATTCTGCTTTGGGCCGGTGCGGTTTTCGATGCCAGACTTAGTTTACCTTCTTAGTGTTTTGCCTCTTTGGTTCTTCAACCTGCAAACAGTTTTCACCGTTCGCAGGGGTTGGACCGGTCCCGCTTGGATTCACCGGACCCTCGGGTCGAACTCTTGGGGCGCGTAGGCCACGCCAGAGGAGTTGGAGGTGAGGGGCCGGATGGGATAGGATATGTGTCTCAAAATAGGCATCGGCTTTCTGGAATTGGTGGTTTCCTGTTGGTTTCCCTTTCAACCCCAACCCAAAGCGGTCCGAATCCGTCGCCAGAAACGCTCGTTTTAAAAACCTCAGACCCATCCCTGTGAACAAGAGCCTTATGTTGAGATTGTTTTTTGCCACATGGGATGTAGGAAGGCTGGTTGACCCAAGGGCGATGGAGAGGCTAATCAACCCATCCTTGGTGCCGTATGGGTTCAAGGGGGAAAAAGCGCCTCCTTGGGGTACGTGGGTAGATTGATGGATTGAAGCGGTAAATTCGGACAGGGGAACTCGGGCTCCAAAAGCTCCGGGGCATGAGTCGCGCCGATTCAATCTGAGACTTTTCGAATGGCAGCTTGACTAGATTTTAGGGTGTCGGTTTTAGGGCCTCTTGAGGGCTCTGAAAGCACACCACGGAGCTCGCCACAGAGGTCCGCGTTCGTGCCATAGAGTTTGGGCAAGAACAAAATAGCTTTCATAAGTCAAGACATACGACACTGAAAGCCGGCCGGGGAGCCTGCGCTGGGCTTCATCCCTCACAACCAAATGAGATGTAGCCGCTCGCCTGGCAGAACCCTTTGAGGCACCAGTTTGATTTTGAGCAGGTTGGATAACAAGCTGACATGGTTTACGGCCTCACTGATGACAATGGTTATATTAGGGAACCCTTAATTTGGGTTGGTGAATTAATATGAATCATAAAGATTAGGCCAGATTTTCAGAGGCCTCAGAGTCACAGTACCTTCTGAGGAGGTACTTTGACCTTTTAATCGCTGGAAGAAATCAAGGGTTCGATTCGTCTAGCGAGGAGAAAGAACTTTCAATGCTACTCGGAGTCTTGATGACAATTAAAACATGAGGTCATTACCCCAAACTTTCGGGATACATTTCCCCGCTTTTGGAGACTCCAGGGATGCCTACGTGGAACACTAAACCTATAATTTCTCAGACCCAGGCCTCTAGCGAAGCCCTTTTATCGCGACATTTGTATGCCAAGAAAAAGGATGCCCACATCTGCCGGAGGTTTGGGAAGAAGAATCCCTCAATGCGCTGTTTTTGGACTGACCTACACAATGGCAAAGATGTCATTCGCTTATATCCTTCTGATGCCGCTTTATACCACAAACCAAGGGGCTGTGGCTAAGAGTTTGAGTGAGGAACATCCTCAAAAATGGTGGACACAACTCAGACATGATGTTCACCCCCAGTCATACCCAAGAACGAGTTCCAAACCATATATATATATATACATATATATATATATATACATATGTAAGCTTCAAGCAAAAATACTGATACTATATGATCCATTTGGGAGGCGGGCTCACTAATGTAACGTCTCAAGCCAAACAACTTATTAAGTTTCCCACATGTAGCAAGTCATCTTGACCGCTGCGACTTCCCAGGAGCTGCTGGAAAGCAAACGCGCCGCCTGGCGCGCTTCGGCGCCTTCCGTGGCTTCTGCGGCGTCCGGAGCTTCCGCCTGCGCGGGCTGCGGGGGGAAGCAACCGCGGCCCTTCCAGCGCTTCGGCCGCATGCTTTTTGGTTTGGTGCGAAAAAGTCAAGAAATGGGGGTATAAATTGTGCCAAAAAGCGTGGTGTGCTGGAAAATCGAGCTTGCCCGAAAGGGAAGCCAAAAGGCGGACGGGCGTCGTTTTGAGCACTTTTCAAGACCTGCGATTTAGCACCGGTGACCAAGTTTTTTCAGTGTATTTTGTTTTGCGCGCGCGCGGGTGTGTGTGTGTGTGTGTGTGTCTCTGTGTGTGTGTCTCTCTGTGTGTGTGTGTGTCTCTGTGTGTGTGTGTGTGTCTCTGTGCGTGTGCATATGTATGTATGTGTTTGTTTGTATGTGCATGTGCGAGCGAGCACATGTGCATGTGCATGTGCATGCGCAGGTGTATGTTGATGTGTGTGTGTGTGTGTGTGTGTGTGTGTGTGTGTGTGTGTGTGTGTGTGTGTGTGTGTGTGTGTGTGTGTGTGTGTGTGTGTGTGTGTGTGTGTGTGTGTGTGTGTGTGTGTGTGTGTGTGTGTGTGTGTGTGTGTGTGTGTGTGTCTGTGTCTGTGTCTGTGTCTGTGTCTGTGTCTGTGTCTGTGTCTGTGTCTGTGTCTGTGTCTGTGTCTGTGTGTGTGTGTCTGTGTGTGTCTGTGTGTGTCTGTGTGTCTGTGTGTGTCTGTGTGTGTCTGTGTGTGTCTGTGTGTGTCTGTGTGTGTCTGTGTGTGTCTGTGTGTGTCTGTGTGTGTGTGTCTGTGTGTGTCTGTGTGTGTCTGTGTGTGTCTGTGTGTGTCTGTGTGTGTCTGTGTGTGTCTGTGTGTGTCCTGTGTGTGTCCTGTGTGTGTTGTGTGTTTGTGTGTTTGTGTGTTTGTGTGTTTGTGTGTTTGTGTGTTTGTGTGTTTGTGTGTTTGTGTGTTTGTGTGTTTGTGTGTTTGTGTGTTTGTGTGTTTGTGTGTTTGTGTGTTTGTGTTTGTGTGTGTGTGTACGTCTTGTTTTCTGTGTTGTGTGTTTGTTTGTTTGTTTGTTTGTTTGTTTGTTTGTTTGTTTGTGTTCGTTTGTCTTCGTTTGTTTTGCGTGAAAAGGGACCCCCGCTGACTGGGGAGTTTGTTAAATGCGTTGGTCAGCGTTGCAAGGGCCAGCTGAGTTTATCCTTGGTGGTTTAAAACATCACCTCACCTTCTGGAAAGGCAATTTCAAAGTGAGTTTCCTTTTGGCTGGGAGGTGTCCACAGCTCGGAATTGCGCAGGGACCTGGGGCGCGACTGGACGGGGGCGGGGATGGCTACTGTACACTCTGGGTCTGTTCTTGCGTGAGGTTTCGTGCTCCAAATAAATAGCCTCAAAGGATCAAAGCCTCCACTACAGGTGCGGGGCAGGACGGAAGCAGGAAAAGGTCCTTGGGGCTCGCATTTTGGAAGTTGATGCTCAAGTCAAGCAACGAATGTGCGACCCACCACTCCCTGAATGTCCAAGTGCCTGCTGAGGACGCAGAGGGCCTTTTGACTTACATAAGCTCCATGCTCAAAAGGCACTTCGACCCACTCAGAGTCGCGGTAGACCTACCATGTGCCCGTACGGCCCAGTGTTTTCGGGTTTTCCCAGCTTGCGCGTTCCGCTCAGGTGCGGAACGTGCAAGACGGTGCGCTACTGCTCCCCGGAGTGCCAAAAGAGTCACTGGAAGGACGGCTAGTATGCATCACCCCTACCAAGGGAAATTTACCTGAAATGGGCCCAAAAGGTAATGTTCAAAACCACCAACAATGGACAGATAGGGACCTTTGCATCCCCCTAAACAAACCTCAAAACAAGGTTGCTCGCGGGGTCTCGGGACACATTTGACTCATTTGACTCCAGTTTTGCAATGCCGAGATGGCAGACACGGTTTCTTCGACGAAAGATTCATTGATTTTGTGGGTGGGTGGGTGGGTGGGTGGGTGGGTGGGTGGGTGGGTGGGTTTAAATGTCACCTTCGGGTCGCCAATCTACAGAAAGTGACCTCAGTGGAGGAAAGCCACCTTGCACAAGGCTTGTACACTTCCATGTTTGCTGGTGGGACGGGTATTTTGCTTTTTAAAGGGTCGTGCAGCTTCCATTGCTTGCTGTTGTGATACGCGGGGCTAGACAGCTACGCACACAGTTTCTTGTCATCATGAAGCAAGTTATTATTCAAAGTTCTCCACCCCCGCCCATTCTAATCATTTAGGCCCTTGCAATATCCCCATTTCCAAGTTCGGCACCCAAACGCTTGGCTGAACGAGCAGGGAAGCTCACAGAAGAATCCAAAGAAGCTGTTGGATAGAGGCATAGCATCGTGAGCTGAACCATTGCCAGACTGGAACAGGAATGCTCCTTTGGCCTAATATCTCACAACCAAGCCTCCTTGGGGCAGAACGTTGGACTCAGGGATGCCATTTTGTCCAAATCCCTTGTGCTGATTGGAATTTCAGAGCAACCCGTGTATTTTGCCCTTGTGGGTTTCCTTCTGAATTTCATTGAACTTACAGTACAGCCGGCAACAAGTTACCTTTGCAGGGGTACAAGTCTCGGTCTATTTTGCAACCACCTTCTTGGTGTTTGTAACGCAGAGTGTGGCTCGGGATTTCAAGCAAATCAGTGGGTGTTGACAAACATCGGCGGCCCCCATTGGCATTATGGCGTATTGAGGAAACAAGGAGAGCCAACACTCGTCCGCCATACTGTGCAGGCCGGAATGATTGGACAAGGGTTGAGGGGCAAAGTCTAGTCATTCATTTTGGCAAAAACTATTAATAATTGTTTAGTATATTACGCTGGCGTCCCCTGCTCCAGAACACGTTTCCGCGCAGGAGCATAAGAGGAGATGTCGAAAGAGAGTGACAGCAGCTTCGCCAGCATACACTCCTTTCCAATTCCATGATTGTTAGGTGAAGAATCCAAAAGGGGATGTGGAACTTAATTTCCCAGACCCCGATTTCAACACCCAGATGGTTGCAGACGTAGCCCTGCTGATTTCTGTTTAGCAAGACTTTCTCCTGAGGGTACCCTTTTCAGGTTGGTTGAAAGGGAAACCAAACGACGCATACCGGTAGTTTCATGTTTTTGTGGCTGGGAGTTCCTCAAAGCTGGTTGTTGTCCCCACAGACGTGTGCAAGTGTTGGGGTCGGGTTTTCCAAGCGGTGCGCAGGTGCCGTTTGGGCACAATCCACTCTCTGCAAATCAACATGGAGCCCTGCGGGGATTCCTCAGGTGGCTTTCGGGTTCCACGTGAATCTGGAGACTTCGGGTCCCGCCCACCGTTTTCCCTTTGATGTTCCCCGCGCTTCCATGGGTATCCCCAAAAACAAACATACACGCATGTGAGCCTGCTCTCAGACTTCCACAGGGCCACACCAAGTGGGTGTTGTTTTCCCAAAAGATGCACGAAACATGATTCCCTACTTTGGAAAGGCTAGGGAAGCCATGGCGGCACCTGAACCATCGGGCTATGTTTATGACTGGTTTGCTTGCTTAACCATCCGTTTCTCCCCGTTGACATCATTTGTGTTAGCTTTCGTCCTTGAGGCAAACATTTGCGTCCTCTCGGACTTTGCCTGACCCCATGGCTGGATTCAGCACCGCTACCTGCAGCGTGCAATGGAGCCTTTGGCAAATATATTTTGGGGTGTGTCTTGCTTGTGTCTCTCTTTTTTTTTTTTGGGGGGGGGGGGGTGTTTTTGTTATCCAATTTAAGTTTCAACATGAGTTTCCTTTGAGTGATCCTTGATATAGATTGGACACATAGGGTTCCGTTTGTTGAGCAACTGGCGCAACTGTTGGCAGTCGATTTTTGGGGGTTGGGAGCACATGCTGGGGACCACCTACATTACCCAAAAGCCAAGTTTCCTACGTGCTCTTGGGTCACATGTGGCATGGTCAAACCACCTCATAGACAATGAGAATTAGAATTACGAAAGGCCACAGGCATGGCCCAAGAACATCAGTGTTCCTTTCTGTCCAGCCGGTTAAAACCTCACTCGGGTATATAAGTCAAAATCAAACAACCAGGGGACCGCAGGTTTTAGTCCTTGGTTCCATTTACCAGGGTTCCTTTTGGGCATCTATGTTTGACCCACAGCCACTTGTTGCAACACTTTCAGGAGAGTTCCCTCTTCGTCATGTCAAGGACGAATGCAAGTGGTGACCTTCGGCTAGCATCGCGTGCTTGGGCAACAGTAAAACTGAGTCCGTTGCACCTGTTTGTCCAAATGTTATGATGCTAAGGGGGAACCTTCTGCCCTGTTGCCTTGAATGAGTGAACGTTCGCTAAAAAAAATATAGGGCCTAAAAAAGAACACCCCTTTGATGAGTTGGGTACAACCTCCCTTTTGGAATAGGATTGATTGAAATTATATGAACCATAATCTACATATGATGCCTGTTTGGGGGCAAAAGTTAAGTAAGGCAGGCGACGGCCCTGATTTTGATCAACCAGGTGAATGGGTGTTGGGTGCTGCCAGCTTTTCCTACGCGAAATGAGCACCGACTGAACTTGATTTCGGGTATCGAACTAGCCCCGTATCCTCTGACGAGCGGCTGTATGGCTGTGAATTTCAATTATACAAAGATCACCCTCAAACATGTTTGCGGAACATAGTTCCCCATGCCCATGTTTCCACCAAAGGTTTCAACCAATTGAAGCTCATTGCTCATGTGTCAATTGCCGTCTTTGTATTGGATTGTTGTCCTCCAAAATGAACAGAGTGCTAGCTGCAGATGCCTTTGTAGTTTGATGACGAGAACATAGATTGCCTTCTGCTTGGTGTACTCTTTGGAACTGTGTCTCTTGTCCCAGTCCGCTCTCGCAAGCGTTCAAGCTGTTCTTGTGTTGTCCTGACTTGGCTGAAAGAGGTCAACACCTTTGAAACCAGGGTGTCAACCCTTTAGCTCGTCAAGACCGAAATCACAGTGTCACTCAACGCCCTGGGACTTCATTTTGTTTTTGGCTGCAGAGACCGGAACTCAAGGAGACGCTGGCGGATGAAGCGATCGATTTCACTGTGACGCGTTTGCCTTTTTTCCTACGCCCAGAGCAGCTTGGCTTTCGGGAGGGCCCGCAGATCTCGGAGCGTGCCATGGTCACAAGGGGTGGTCCCGGAGGCCCACGTCAGAGTTTGGGATTCTCCAGTGGATCCCGAAAACGCGGCGAAGGTCATCGGTAGCATGTAGCAATCCCATGTTATAACTTACATCAATTTCATGCTGCGTTCAATGTCCAAGCTCCCCAGCAAACACATGCCCAACAATTGCATTTGGGAACCTACATGTTGGTTGCCCATAGACTTCTCTCCAGTCCAGAAGGCTCAGCGAAAAGAACACTCCGAGGCAATAAGAGGCAACCATCCAATAACAGGCTTCCGGGTTATGCAAAAACATTCAAAAACCAAGGATTCCTATCCCACCATCGACCCACTTTCAGTTTTTTTTACACCCACATCGACGTTATACTGAGCTCTCTGTCACTCCCAATCGATGCTACTCAACAAGGAGAGCAGGCCTGGTTTCCAGCAGAGGACACAGCCTGCGCTTTTCCCCATCTGGACAACATTTCGGAATGCTTCCTTGTCTCGGGTCCAGCGCAAGAATGCAGAGCCTGTGTTACTCGGCACTGCTACGCTGCCATTGAACCATGGTTCAGCACCTTTCACAAACAGCATTTAGAGGAAAAGGACTTTGAGCACACCGGGTCGCCGCGCTCTTGGTCTTGAGGTTTTGTTGTGCATTCTGACTGGAATGCAAGCAAAGTGACGAGCGCCTACAAGCAACATGGTGACGGCATGCACACAAAATCCGACTACGTGATTGTTCTCATGTCTGGTCGCTCTGGTGTCGGTGTCGCAATATTGCACACACCGTAGAAGAAAGCCAAATGCGCTTGAAACACGACTCAGTATGTCCAGGTTGCCAGGGCTAGCTTGGTTTCTCCGCAGGCTGCCCGGCATCAACAAGAGCCTGGGCGATGGCACTGCAGGGACCGGACGTAGAAACACGCGATTGATTTCGGTTCATTGTGTGTGTGTGTGCCCCGATGTGTAAGTTGCAGGGAGCGGGCAGACACAATGGTGCACAAAGACCAAAGAATAAATATAGGAGCTTCATACCTGTTGGACCGGGGTACCTTGTAGACAGCACCCCGTGAGTCGCCCTGCAGAGCATGCCATTGGTACGCATTTTCCCGTTTTGGAGTTGGTTTCCTTTTAAGATTAACCAACATATTGGCTTGGCCTTTAGCAAACAAAGGTGTCCTTGTCCATGCGAAATTACCACTCAGGTCATGTGAGTTCCGAGCCAAGTGCCGATCTTTAGGCCCGGTGTCCCTTGCGTACCCGGCAGCTTTGCGGGTTTGCTCAGAAACTGGTGTTTCTCACAATCCGATTCGCACCAATTGGTAGGTGGTTTCCCCCCCCCCCCAAGCAAAAAAACATAAACAAACACAAGCCAACAAACAACATGCAGGGGTTCATCCATGGGCGTGGATTTCCATCAGCTCTCGGAGGACCTGGCGGGTTGAAGACTCGCCTGGCACCTGGGGGCAACAGATGGACCTCTACACCAAGACTCTCGGCTAAAAAGAAATCCGTCCCCAAGGTGGGGATGTGCTAGGGCTGCTACTGCTAGGAATGGTACCATTTTGGGGGTGCGCCACGCATTGAAGTCTATTTTAGTGGGGATTGGGATGTTCACTGGGGGTTCGGAATTTTGACCCACGGCGATATATTGTTGGGGCACCTCATTATGCCAGGGCAAGTCTCCAAAATGCATTTTGAGCATGAAGTGGGGGAAGTTCTTCCCAAGTGGTTCACTGGCACCCTTCCAAGCAAGTTTTTGTTTGGTGGATTCTCCACTGGAAATGGTCAACCCAAAAGCAGATTCCTTTTTTTCTGGGCTCACTAGGATGCTGGTCTAAAACCACAAACACATGCAATCAGAATGCACTTTGCCACTGATTCATTTGAGCAACCGCCAAAAAATGCTGGTAGTCCATGGTGAGTTTGGGAAGAACATAGGATCCCGCCCAAGAGTCCTTTTGGCGAACTGCAAACTGTCCGCGACTGATTTGGGTGTATCGATCACCCCTGCGCTCCTCACAGGCTGATGCTACAAACCCACATGCGAAGCCATGCTCAACTCGTTACGCTTGCGATGGATAAAGCCAAAGTTCAGCACAGGGTTTCGGGGATGCATGGGGAGGGTTCCGGAGATGCACGCGGCAATTCCAAGGAGGCAGGGGTTTCCACACAAGTTGTTTTTTCTCCCTTGCCGTTGCCGTGATGTCTTTTTTGTGTTGCCGTTGCTGTGAAAATGTATGTTGCCGGGAAACAAATCAGGCAACATCAGTTCCCTTGGCAGTAGTTTCCTGTATTATTTTGACTGGCCAGTCCATTTTTCCGTTTGTTTGGTTCCTATCCGACGCAGTAGTTGAGCAGTAATTCTGCGAAGCAGCTGCCTAACTACTGCTGCCGTTGTCGTTCCCGTTTGTTTTGCCGTTGCCGGTGCAATGAACAGCTAGTTATTCCCAAGTGAATTAAGAAATCACTAATTGCCGTGAAATGGAAACTGCCGCGCAAGATAGTTTTGACCGTGGGGTTCACTAATTGCCGTGACGGATTCTGAGGGCTGGCCTGTAGCCCCCTCCAAATAAACCACCAACCCAAGCCACCAATCCGGGGACTAGTTCGCGTGTGCTTCTTTGAGGGTACCCGTTTTTTCACGCTGGTTGGTTGAAGGGGAACAAACAGTTTGTAGGGCCTTAGTTTGAGATGCATCGCAGGAAGCACCCCGAGAAGTTCGGCGCGGACGGACAGGCGCCGGACGCCCGCTTTGGCATCAGCTGGCAGGCGGCAGAGGCGGGTCCTCAGGTCGTTGCGATTTGTCCCGGGGGTGACTGCCAGATGTACTGACTTCCACTTGCATTAAGACTTTTTTTTCCTTTTTCTCTTGTTGCTTTTAAACGGAATCTATCACTGTTGGAAATATGTTTTTTATTTCTTTCCAGGAGACTTAGGCAAATGGAGGCTGATGTTTGAGTTTTGTCCGATCTGTTTGACTGGCACCATCAAAGTTAGAAACAATCGCGGTTTGCGCCACACGACAAGTTGCTGGCAGCAATTGGGCGCTTTAGAAATGGTCGTCACGTATGCCAAGATACCGTTAATCCCCAACACACCAACCACACTCTTACCACACCGCACAAGATACGGTAAAACAGGGGGAATTTGTTGTTCCCTTTCCCTGTTTCCTTGTTTGCTTAAGGCATCTCTACTTTGGGTCGGGAGAGAGCGAGCCGCAAGCGCGGCTCGTGCAGTCTCGTGCAGGTGGGCTTGAAGTTCAGCTTCGGACAGCCCATGAGCGGCCTGGCTAAAGTCGGGCAATTCGGTGACCACCAAGGAGACATAGTTGCGAGTGTACTCCTCGAATTGATTTGAGCCCCGCTCCCCTATCTCTCATATTCATCCTGGGTCCAAATTAAACGTCATAGGATCAGATCCATTGGAAGGGAAGAAGAGAGGGCAGAGGGGGCACCAACCCAGCCAGCAGATAGGGTAAGGGACAGTTACGAAGCCCACGCCCTTTCACATGGAGATGCAGACAAAATGCCTTCGACGCTTGACCAGGGCCTTGAGGGGGTCCATGTGGGAGGGGGGCCCGCAGGCTGTTTTGCCCTTGGTTTTTCAGGGTACCTGCAGTCTGCATGACCCAAAAATGGGCCAGTGTAGCCACAAGTTTGGGGTGATGACCCCTTGAAGGGGAAACCAATTGGGAGTTTCTCAAAATGGAGCCCTGTTAGTATTTAAAACGGAAAAGGAGACCGTTTTCTTACTCTAGGGCACGGATCTCAATTCTGAGAAGCTTCAATCACATGGCAGGCAACTCCATGGACGCCCTGCGACTGCTGGTGAAGGCCATCGGATCGATTTGGACGAGCATTGGCTGAAAGGCGATTCCTGGACTTGCTCTGACCTTTGGGGTTTGACCTGTTTGAAAGGTGGAGGGGTTTGGCTACCTCCGGGTAAAACACGCGCACCAAGGCAAAGATGTAGCTTCTTTACCCGGGGGATTTTTATTTCAGGTTTGGAAGTGGTTGTAGAATATCTAGACTTTCCATGACCCTGTAAAACATGGGCTAATGTGTCCAAACGTTCGGGGTCTGAAAAATAGGTGTGTAAGGATCATGGACACTCCTGGGTGTTCTATTGCAGGACTGTTTGCAAATTGCTTGGGAATAAAATTCAAAGCACTGGCTGCCAGTCAACCCGCGCAGCGTGCATTGCACCACGAACACAACAGAAACCTGGGTCCGCCTCGAAATGGGTTTGTGGTGTTTGAGGGTAGCTGTTTTTGGGGTGGGTCGGAAGGGAAGCCAAAGAGAAGCCGAAGCCGCTTTACATCTAGGGGTTTCGCTTTTTGAGACTAGGGCCATGTAGGGCCCTGTTTATCTGGTTTTCCAAGCCAAAGGAGAACAGGACGAGCGCCCAACTGTTCCTCAAAGTGCTTGCCGGCGACCAAGCCGAGCCTTCAAATTAGTTTAGTGTCCTTCTGGTTTCCCTAAGGTACGATTCCCTTATGCCAGATTCTTTAGAGCAACCCTGAGCACTGAGTTATGTTGCATCTCTTGCTACTTTCCGACTTGGAGGTTTGTCACAACTTCAAAGTGAGGTTCCGGTGCTGTGTAAAGTGGACACACAAGACACGCCATGTCATCCTGGTGCTTACATCGCATGGAATCGACCTTAGGCACCCCCTCCAAGAGGGACCGCGGCACGAAACGTTGCATGTGGATTTCTCCTCTTTTGGGAGCATCTTGAAGACGCCAACATAAAGCTGCCATTGGGAAGGCAAGTTTTGGCACAACACTCATATGATCAATGCACGAGTTTTCCGACTTTGAACAGCGATCGGGTCTTCGGAGCAACGTTGAGCAAAAGAGGTTCAATTTTGTGGGCGTGGGGGGAGAGCTATCACCTCACCAGAGGCGTAGTGACACGAAGCATGAAGTACCTTTTTTTTGGCATCTCGCAAGGGGGATCCTCCGCCGATTCTCCCTGACGAATTCAGGCTTGGAAGCAGTACAGTAGATGCCTATAGGCAAGATCCGACGTACCTGTCTGGTTTGAAGAATGGAATTGAGGCGGCGGCTGAATTCTGGGATTCTCGTTCATTTTTCTGAAAGGTGGAAGACTCACTCTGATTGGTGGTTTGGATTGCTGGTTTGGGGGTTGACCCGCTTAGTATTTTCGAGGGTAAATGAGAAGCTCCCCCGAATCACCAATATAGCGGGAACATGATGAATATATCCCCTGAATTCTGGGGCAGACGGGATATGGCTATGAACTTTAATTGGGGCCTTTTGGTGGGCATCACCATTTTCAGGATAGCCACATGGGGCCTACCAAATGGTCCTTTGAATCAGATTTGGTCATGATGATGGGAGAAGACTGTTAGCAATTATTAAGGCCCTTATATCAGCCCCACAAAAGAAAATAATGGATAGTAAAGGCCTCCCCGCACGAGGGACCAAGTGGTGCACAGATTTGGTCCAGTTCCGCTTTGAAGCCCGAATTGCTACGGGGATTGAACAACCATGAAACCACCGGATCTTCCGTTGACGCATCGGCAGGTGCAGCGGGAGCACAGCCCTGCAGTGCGGGAAGCCTTCTTCGAGATCGTCTCGCGCGCCTCGGCTTTGGGGAGGAACAGGGTGCCGTTTCGCGACTACCCCATGAGGAGGCCAACGACCCCTGCGTATACCTCTGGGCCTGTTTGGGAAGCTCAGAAACCCATTTGAGGATTTCTCCAAGGTGGGCCCCCGTTTGGTTGATATTTAAGGGGAGTTTGAAACGACAGGCACGATTCTGGGGGGAGGATTCCTATTTTGAGAAGCCCCCATTTGGGGTTGTCTTTCTTTGGACCCATGGTGTCGTTGTACAGGGACATCGAGAATCGAGAGAGCTGCCATGGTCGGGGTCGCCTATTTGTAGACACCCATTGATGGGCTTAGGCGTTGGTTCCTTTTCCCTTTGACCCCAAAAATAGGGGCAAAGACGCCCAAAAATAGGCGCTGGAACATGAGCGACTGAGCCCGCAGAGCCAGCCGCAAGCCTCCCCAAGGTTGAACAAATGCTTCCCCAACCCTCCCGAAACCAAGCCCAATCAAGCCTCCCGACCCTCCTTCACAGTATTAAAACCATCCCATACCTGAAAACAACCTACCTGAAACTGGGCCCAGTACTTCGACTTTCTGGAAATCGTCAAGTCAGAAGCTGGGTCATTTCCCTGAAACCTCTCACTTGGGGAGTGACTTTGGCAAAACTAATGGCGCACCTAAACCCCAACCAACGCCCAGCCTACACCCAACCTCTCCAAAACCGGTGGACCAATCTGCCAAAGGGTTCAAGGCAACCAAGGAAGGGTTCCTCCTGACCCCTCTGAGGCAAGTACTTCACGGAGGGCCGACCCCTGGCAGACCACCAGATGCTGCTCGAGGCGGCAAAGGAGGCTGAAGTGCCCACTGAGGCCGGAAGAAAATCTTCCGAAGAGGTTCTGGTCGAAGTATGAGAAGTCTGTGGTGTTTTGGGGAGGGACATTGGAGGATTTTTGCAAACGGTCCCACCAAATCCAGGATCAATCTCCCCCGGAACCACGGGAAGGGGCCCACATGTTTCGGAAATAGTCCCACTGAATCCCTGACCCAGGGTCGCCTGAAGGGACTCGCAATGCAATGGGCCGATTTGCCAAAAGAGATGGCCCCTTGGATTCTGGTACCGGCCGCCTTTCGAAGGGGACGTCAACAACATGTTTAACTTCCTTTTTGCAAGGGAGCGAGCCTCGGGTTCCGGATGCAGTTTTTGTTCTTCTTCTTCGCATTTCCGTGAGTTTGCTGCTTCCCCCCACCCAATTTTCAGCCCTTTGGATCGATGCCGAAACGTGGAGGGGCTGCTGGAGTGGCTCCGGAGCGGGGACGGCACCTTCGAGATCCAGCGCACCTACGCGGAGATCTTCTTCGGCCGGGGGGGGGCGGGGGAGCTTCGGGCGTCGAGCTTCCGGAGACTTCGGTGCCTGGCGATGAACTTTACGTCCATGAAAAATGGCGGCCGGAAAATTGCCTTCTTGGTTCACTTTAGGAACCCAGTTTGAACGGGAACGATATCCACCAAAAGGTCACCTTCCTGTAAAGGGAAGCCTAAACTTCGGGTTCGGCATTGTGTTTGTCGAAATGCGGGGGGGGACAACCCAAGTGATCAAAGGGAATCTCCTTTGCTGCAGTCTACCTTGGGGTATTGCAAACATTCACAGCCCTTGCAACAGGTTGCTCCTTTGGGCGTTTCTTGGTTTCTTTTAATGTGATTTCCTTTGGATGGTGGAGGATTCCAGAGACTTGAGGTTTGGTCAAGATGACTCCAGGCTCTGAAAACCCTGCAGGCTGGGGCTACACGTCAGTGCCTGTGACGCTGGTGAGCTGCGAAGGCCACTGGGCCAGTCCCAGTCGCAACAGGGGCTCTCTATCGGTTTCTCAAAATACGAGCCGTGGATTTGTTGGCTCCCTTCTTGTTGGGTGCGTCTTGGTATTCAGGGTACTTGTTGCTTTTTTGTGGTTTTGAAATGGAAGCCAACAGGGAAACCACCATCGGTGGGGGTCCACAAGAAGCAAGACACGCGCTGAATTTGCATCATCACTTTCGGGGCGCAAAGTGAGTTGTTTTTACGAATGCTTCAGTTGAGGTATCCTGCAAATTTACGGAAGGCACCAAAACGGGGGGGTCCTTTCTCGGAAAGGAGGTTCCTCTAAACTCTACTGGGGTTCCATATTAGTCTGCAGGGGTGCAATAGGAAGGCCATACAGGGCTGAATGTGGCCGAATGATTAAACATATATATATATATATATGTATACACATATGTACATAGTGATCATTACGATTATGTTATGATCATGACTTAGTTCAGCTGCTGAGTATAACACAACCCCATGAATCATTTGGGACAACAAACACTCCCTCTCCTCCCTCCCTCCCTCCCTCCCTCCCTCCCTCCCTCACTCACTCTCTCCCTCCCTCCCAATGAAAATATTCGAGGGAAGTACACGCTTGAATGAAGGTAAGTTGTCAATTGTTGGATATGCTTAGTATTGGTTTCGTTTCCTGCCCTGCGTAGGTCGGTCACCACGAGGGCAACGTGTTTCATGATGCTGATCTAAAGTGTAGAATTGCATTTGTTTGTGTGTTGTGCTTAGTGGCAAGGAAAGGGTGCTGAGGTCCTGTACTGTACTTCAACTTGACTGAGAGTCTGCACGGTCCATTTTGTTTGATCTGACCAAACCGCTGTTTTGTTCCCTTCTTTTTTTTGTGGGGCACATTTATGGTTGAGAATATTAGTATCACAGAAAGGCTAAGTTCGATAATTCATGTGGTCCAGACGGCTTGTTGGTTTCAGACTACCTTGTTGAACGACGAAGAAACAAGTCCCCTGCCAAGGTAGACTTGAACCCAGGGGAGGTTCACTTCCCCAAAGGAAAAGCCCCTGACCTCCAGTCTCCCTTGCGGTAATCCAAAGACGAAGCCCTGGGTGTGCCTGATGAATTGAAAACTCAAACCCATGTGTATGCTGACACTCTTATTGGAACGCGCCACAGAAGAATCATCCAATCCAGGCCCCCCCAGATCGGTTCCATGAAACGCGGGTTAAGGTACTGAAAGTTGCTAAACAGACACAAGGGATCAGTGTTGGTTGAAGCAAGCTTGGCAACGAAGCAAGCAAGCAAGCAATTTTGGTTCCAAGCAACGATCGCATGGGTTCCCTAACATATACCTTGATGTGAGGTTGCCGCGAGAAGCAAGCGACCGAAGCAAGCAAGCAAGCAAACAAGCGAGCGAGAGAGCGAGTGAGCAAGCGACCAACTAAGCGACGGAGCGACCAACCCGCGTACCAACCAACCAAATAAATCGATTTGGTTCCGTGTCAGGGCCTAGGACAAGCTCCCAACCCTGAGCCCTGCTTTGGCTCCAGGTCTGGATCAGCATATCCAGGGCTCCCAGAATTTGGAGGCCGCGGAGTCCTCTTGCGGAGACTTGCGGAATGTGTTGGAGAACTGGGAGACGTGCAGAGATACCTTGGCGGGTCCCAGCCAGAGGATTCCTTGACTTGTTTTAGACTTTGAGAGTGTAGAGAGATTGGAATGATATATATGTTTGTTTCAATAGAAGAGCAAGGTCAAGCAAGAGACGAACGAATCACACTAAGACATGCTTCCCCCAACATGGGGTTACTGCATGGACCCGTTTTGGTGTTTGTAAGGGTAACTAGAAATATTCTGAATCGGAGCCAGCAAATGAGGTTTGGTCGAAGTATCATGATTCGGGCTGAGGGGCAGACGCTGCCAACCCAAACCTTGTGCCGGCCAAACTACCATTTGTATCGAATCTTCGGAAGATGTGATTCAAGCAAGGCTTGTCCTTCCGCAAACTGACATCGAAGTGCACAGGGCCCCTTTTCAGGAGGAAAGCAGTCCTTCAAAAATGGGCTTCTTTACTTGCACGTCCATGTTTGGCGGGAGGGTGACGTGTTGAAGGACACACATATATATATATATATTTCTATATATATAATATGCACATAGGGAAGCTTGCTCAGCTTCGCTGGCCCTGACCTGTGGCAGTATGGACTTGCCAGCATTCGGCAGATGTTTGAGTGGCCCATAGCATTCCGCATGTTGCCTCCATGCTGACACACCAGAGTCCACGGTTTGCAAAGATCGATGCGTCCATAGTGTTGCCCATTTTGAGGCTCTAAACATGACCTGTTGCCAACTGAAAGGTGAATGGCCGTATTGGGTGACTTTGCGAGATGCAGGAGGGACTCCATTGGTTTTCCAGTTGGAGCCCTGAGATGAGGTCTGACTGTGTGGCTTCTTGGTTGTAGGTCCCGGTTCAGTGGGTTATACGCAGGGTTACTTCCCAAACGAACATGAAGGCCGGAACGGGGTGGGTGGGGGCAAGAGAAGATAACATCTCTTGCAAAAGTCCACGTTATACTGGTTTTCCAATAGGCGTTCTGGACTAGGACTGGCCACCCTCCATTTTGAACAACCCTAGAAACAATGGATTTGGGGGTGGGTCCAGCTACTTGCCTAAGGTAGAGTTGAGCGAAAGTCGATGGCACATTTCCCACATTTTGATTCAGTCATTCCCCTTACTTGCCCACCGAAGTCTGCGCCATCAGCTTGCTCCCTGGTGTATTTTCATATCAGTTTTGGGCGGTGGCAGGGGAAATAGCATGGACACCCGGCCAGTTTCGAGTTTCGGGGCTCTCAAATCTGGCAGGCCTACCTCCAAGTCTTCCGGCGAATCTTGGAGGAGCCCTTGGCCTCCAAGACCCCGGAGCAGAAACTGCCCATTTGGGAGCCGGGGAGCTAAGGCGAATGGCGGCGTTTGCGGGGCGGGTTTGGCGCGATTTTTTTCGTGCGGAGAACGGGAGTCTGGCATAAGTTAACAAACCAAAATTCCTACATATTGCCAGACTTAAGTCACCTTTTTGCCAATCAAACAAAATATGTTCTTGCAGAGGGTCTGATTTGTGGCCAAGTATCATGGAACCAGTGATTTCTACCATGAATGAGTCTGAGGCTGCACCAGGAAGTGCGGGGTGGGTCATGTTTTTTTGTTTTTTAATGCGAACCAAGTTTACTCCAAACGTGGATGGCTTTCAGGGGCTCCACGCTAGTCGGCAGAGTAGCCCCTGGACTTCCACTGTTCCATTTCCTGTTTGGGGAACCTAGAAAGGCGTGCATGAGCACAGGGCCAAGGCGCAAAAGAAACACTGGCAATGCGTCGCCTCAAGAGGAGGCTTTTAAACTGATGCAATGAATATGACGGCGGTCATTATAATATATATATATATACACATAATTCTACATGGTGTGCAGCAAGCAGTCGTGCGCTGCGGGTTGCTAGAAGTGAGGGGCTTTACTATGACCGAATGTGCTCGAATAAACATGGCGGACATTTGCTGCGGCATGGCGTGGCATCAGCTCGCAGGGCTATCCACATCATGCATTTGCCAGGGGAGGCTTCAGGACTCGCAACCGTATCCCCCAGAAAGGTATTCAGAACATTCGATCAAAAGGCTCTACGGACTTTTCTTTGGACGGTAGGCATGTGGTTTGTTACATGATTTGTGTGTGTGTACATAGTGTTGTGTGCGGTGTCGTGCCTTCCCAGGTGTTTGCTGCTCAGACAAAGGCTCGCCTCGAGCGTCGTAATTCAAGGCGCATCAGAAGCAAGCCCTGTTGCATGTGTGGGTCCCACACTCCGCCATCAAAGCAAACAACTTGTTCCAACCATCGATTGAAGCTGCTTCTTGGTGTATTTTCGCTCCGCATCTATTCCGGAGCGCTTTTTGTGGTCGACGGGAGATGAGCAAGGTTCAATCTTTGGTATTCGAGTGCAGGGCTTATCCCACTCCACTGCCCGGCTCAGGAAGTACTCGCGCGTGGCGCAAGCCACAGGCACAGCCAATGGCAAGGACTGGGATTTATGATTTTGGAATAATTACAGGTTGGGTTCCTTAAAAAGGGACGTGCCCCGACTTACCATTAATTCTAAACTTGCTGTAGTTGCCATATTGATATATTAATTAGAACATATTATATCAATATGTTTTAAGTAAATGTTATTTTTTTGAACTCCTCAATTCTTTTTTGTAGGTGCTCTAATGTGCTATGTGGTAGATTTGGGCGGTGTAGTTCCATTGTTAATCTGTCTAATTCATTTTGATAGTTTGCTCTAGCGTGTCCTTCTTGGGTATGTTTTCTAAATGCTACTGATGCTTCTTGTGAATTTCTATAATCGGGACTGCTAAAAGTCCCAAGCTCGTCGAAAATCAGCGGCCGAACCTTGGTGTCATTGTACGTCGCCAGTAAGCAGAGCAGCGCACGCATGCCATCATTTTGTCAGCCCCTTTGCTCACACCACATGATGTGAGTTGGTCACCACAAATATGGTTGGTTGTTGATGTGCCTTCAAAGCCCACAAAACGTAGCCATACCCTCATCCCTGATATTTGAAGACCACAACGGTTTCCGTGTGAGCGTGTCCTCAAAGTGCGCAGGCACTTCGATCAAAGTTCTTGGAATGTGAAGCTCGCTGTGTGATTGAACCAGCGAGTGTGTCTTTCTTGCGGGGCCTTTTGGTTGGGTCGTTGGAAGGGCTGACGCCCCAATCAAGTCCTGACTTCGAGCCGTGGGTGCGAAAGGAGGATGAATGCCCTTTGTCCTTTGTCCATGACCCAAACAGTCGCTAGAGGCTGGCGTCACCACAGCGGCTCCCCCTGTTTTGTCTTCACATTCACATCAGCTAATAAAACAGACTTACCAACAAGGAGCGGACGCTTTAGCTGAAATTGGGCTCACCCTTCGAAGTTGCTACCCTGTGGCTTATGGAAATTCAACATCATTGCTCACACAGGGTGGACGTTCACTTTAGACATCATCCCACCCAACGCAAGCTGAGTTTGAGTTGGAATATGAGCTCATGTTCGAAACGACCTTATTACACAACTTTGGGCCGAGAATCACAGATGATACGAAAGGGCAAGTTGCCGTGTCATCAGCGACCAACAAACTTAGCAACTTGGCAGAGTTGGCTTCTGGCAGGCTGATGTCAAGTGTTTCTGGGACCCCCAAAACGGTGGTTTCCCTTTGTCTTTCCTTTAAAACCAAAAGCAGATGAGTACCTAAGAGCGTATGCCAGGTACTGGAATATAGTGTAATGTTGTTCGAGGGTACCCTTCTTTTTTTTGACGTGAACCAAAAAGAAAACCATCATTGTGGGAGTCCCCTGTTGAAAGAAAAGAAGAAGTGCACACCCATATTCACCTGTTTTGCTGTTGACTTGGCAATGTCAAAGACCTAAGGGTCACTTGGCCCTCTAAGCAGCTATGCACTTCAACCCCTTACGTGGAATGGGTAAGGACGGGCATCAAGCCCTTGACAGGACAGAAAGACCAAACATTGTAGTTCCGCTGGGAAGAAAAGGGAACCATGACCATGACCCTACGGACTTTTGCGGCCCAAATCCACTTCCCAGTTGGAACGGATGAAACCCTACAGTAGGGATAAACAACCAATACCAACTGGTGCCGAGCGGCGTAGATTTCACCCATTCATAGCACGTGTAGGGATTATCAACCTAGGAATCGGACCGGACCCCAAACAGATAGTTACATGCTTTCCTTTTGGGCTTCCCTTTAAATACCAACCCCTTCGAGTGGGTCCGAAATCCCATTTGAGGTCTCCTCCCCCCTCCCCCCCCCCCGGAGTCTTCGCAGGACTTCTCGGTGGAGGCCCGGGACATCTTCTTCGGTGAAACCGCCCTCAACCTGCGGCAGAAAGCCAAAGGCTCGGGTTTCAAAATCCAGGGCGCTTCTCACAGGATGCGGACCAACCCCCAAAGAATGGTTGTATTTGCTTGTGGCTTTCCTTTACTTTTTCCATAGTCTACCATTGTGAGAAAGCCGTGTGGTTTTCCCTGGTGCAAGTGACTGGCTGATTCTGCTACTAGCTGGTTGCACTTCGTTGTAGATGGTGCTCTGAGGGAAGCTGAACAAAGAGATTCCAAGCTGCATCACATGTCACACGTTGTGTGTGTCTACCTCGGAGCCCACGTGATAGAACCCATGGTGGGTCGGTTTCCCACCGATGCCAGGCGCGCGGCCTGGCTGATCTGCCTAGGCGCCGTTGGCCTGCGCCGGCGCGGTTACCCTCTCACTTGTGAATATAGGCAGCGCCCAATCCTGATTCCCAGTGAGGCCAAAATTTGAGGTGCTTCTACTCCCTGGTTTAATTGGTGTGATACGGCCTGTATACACCTTTGTAACCATGTTAGACCCCAGCGTCAATGAGGTGTTGGGCGCTCAAGTTGTTTCCAGCGACCATGTTTATGGCTCCTTTGCTTTCTTCACCTAGCTATGGCTTTGAATCACATTTGCGGGACAGCTCCGGCCGGCGTGGCCCGGCGCCGAAGTACAAATCACGTCTCACCGGCGAAGGTTCCAAGCAGTGACACCTTGGCATGCGAATGACGCACCAATGCGCGCCAGCAATGGGGTTGGTCTTTTTGGGTACAGTCTATACGGTACAGTGTGAAGAGCAGAGTGGATTGTTCGGGATCTGGAATATGACACTCATTGTGTCTGTAGATTCATCAAGCAGGCAATTTTAGCGATCTCACAGAGGCGGGTGAATGAGTGACATACCATGATGAAGTGTCCATTGCGATCCCTCATCTTTGACCACTGGTGAAGTATGTGTTCACCCCCCAAACAAATTGAACAAATCATGCCAAAAACAGGGGTTCTTCCGTTCCTGAGTTGACCCGAGCTGATAGAAGATCCGGGAGGCCTTCTTTCCCGATTGATTGAAGCCTTCATTTGAAGATGCGATCCTTGGATTTGCCCAGCAGAGCAACCTCAAAGCCGAGTGCGCTCGTGTGGAAAGCACGCTCAGTGTGGACTGACCGGATATTCAAAGCCGAGTCAAAAGTTGCTCTCGAGCCTTGTACGGAGCTTTGGCCGTTTTTTCGCAGCACCATTTGGATATGCGTTTTTCTTTTTTTCTTTTTCGGGGGGCGGGGGTCAGGGGGCGAGGAGAAACTTCAAGGATGCCAACCACATAGAGATCGTTCGCCGCTTGGGGTGATAGCACCTTTTGGACAGATGTTAATCGAGTTCTTTTTGTGGAGTGATTGGTGGAGCCAACAGCAACAAACAGTTGGTATGTATCTAATACATATATATATATGCATATGTTTAGAGTCCACTCCTTAAGTGTATTGAAGGGGGGTGTTGCGTACTCCAGAATGGGTGGCTCTTACACGTTCCCATTATGGGTACCATCTGATACCGGTCATGTTGCTCTGCTTTTGCTTGATTGTTGTAGTACGCTTTTGCCAAAGTCCATGCCAATGTCTGTTTTTGTTCGAAAGGCAGGATTCTGCAGAAGGGGTGGCTTCGCAAAGAGTGCCGAGGGCTGGACTTTCTTGCAGGGATGATTGCAGTTGTAAATCTTCGACTCAACCTGGGTCTATGTCCAAAGGCTGGAATGGCGTTTGGGGGTAGTCGTTTGGGGTAGTCGCTTTGGAATGGCTTAGATTCGGGGTAGTCGTTTGGGGGCAGAGGAAGCCTTGGCTTTCTTGCGGCTTCCAGCTGGCCAAGGAAGGAACGTCGGGTTGGGGGCTGAGCCACGGTTTCTGGGCGCAGGGACATCCTTCAGATCCTTGGTAGTTGCAATCGAATGGAACGTCGCACGTCCAACCTGAACCATGTGTAAGAGCCCAGATGCAAGAAACTTGGGTTTCGGGTGGACATCTTGAGGACGGACTTGGGGGTCAGGGGCTAGAGTATCTCTGTACTCCGGGACCTTGGAGGGGGTTTGCACCACCTAAACCAAGGGGCTTCTGCACCAAACCATTTGATTTTTTTTGCGAGCCAGCGAGCCTCCCCGCTAGGCCGGGCTGCTGCAGAAGACCCTGGAGCTTTGCGCAGAGGCGCGCGCTCTGAGTCTCCGAGCTTGGAACGACCAGACGCGTTTGGGCCTTGGGCGGTTCACACGTCAACGTTTGGAGAGGCCGAGTCTGGCTGAGTTTCTGTGTGATGTTTGCTGGTTGGACATATTATACGGAACCCTGTAAAACAGAAGGGTTCTCTGGAGGGCAGGGTAGTTTGCGAGAAGATGTTGCAACAGCCAGACCCGTTTCGGCCCCTTGGTTTCGATTGGAGGGCCGGCTTGGTCGGTTTGACCTGGTGACAACTGGCAGCTAAGTCACCCTCCCTCCCACTAACCTGGCACCTCACAGAAGACAAAGTTGATGGTCCAGGTACTTTGCCGCAAGTGCTGTGAATGGAACGGGAGGAACGGGTGCGAGTTTTGTTTACAGCTTTACACGTGTGTTCCAATCAAACCGGGACCTTGTCACAATGCATTTAAAGGTGTACTACATATGGGGAGTCCAAATACGGGGACCCCCAAGATGAGTTGCTTCCTGCTGGTTTCCCCCACAGAGGGGGTACCGTCGAAGTACCCACGGATCTCCTTACAAAACTCTCACACATGAAACCAATCGCGCAAGCAACAAACAGACAGACAGACACGCAGACAACAAACAAACAACCAAACAAAGACACAACCGCACAAGTGGGTACCTGCCAAAACAGGGGGACTCCTCAAACGGTGATTTTGCTCGTTTGGTTTTGATTTTTCGCCTCAAAACAACCAGCCGCACCCAACTGGTCTCGACCGGCAGCCTTGAGGCGCAGGTGTGGCAATCCGAGGCTCGGTCGGCTGGGGTTTGGGTTTTGGAGCAGGAGAGATGGCGCCCGGTGGCAACAGGTTGCCCTTCAAAATCAGCCGACAAACACGGGTGCCGTTTTACCCCTGGGCTGCTGAGTCGGTTGGTGGTGAGGGAAGCCAGCTACCTGCGGATGGGCGACTCGGACGTGGATTCCAGGAATGTTCATGTGTTTGTAAATGCGGACCCTTCTGGTATTTGAAGAGAAGCCACAAAGACCATCAACCATTTTTAGGAATCCCCTATTGTGACACACACACGCTGACCCATTTGTTGGCAATGTTCAGAACTCCATCAGACATGAGCCATTTACTTTCGCCCTCATGACGAAGAATGGAACGCCCGCAAAACAGCGAAGTCAGAAGGCGACCCTTCGGAAGGCGTCCCATGTCTCGAAACACCAAGGGACTAAGGGAGGCACATGTGTTACAACATATCTGATGTTCACCTTGCACCAGCCCTGATCCAGTATGGAGCACAGCAAGAGGTGGACTGCCAAGTCCAGTCTGTTTGCCTGTAACCACTGGGGTTTTGGCTTCACCTGTACTTCAAACAGGTCATCAACACAGGTTTTGCTATGAGTGGTGCTTTGCACCTGAACACTTTACAGAGCGAGAGGGAGAGAGAGCGAGGACTTTCAGCCTGGTACATTTGCGGCCGGAATGAACCACAAGCAACCAGAAGCCAACAAACAAGCCCCTCACTTGCGCAAAGCAAATCCTATTTTGGCCGATTTGGTAGCATGAGCTCAGCCACTATCAAATAAGCTCAAGTGATATCCCCAACAATTTTAGTGCTCGCACCACCCCGCAGCCCTCGCAGAACCTCGTGGAACCCTGGTGGAACCCTCATGGAACCCTGGTGGAACCCTCGTGGAACCTTACCTCAGGGCCGCCCCGGACCACCCCGAAGCCTATCTGGGCTGAGACCCCAAAGCTGCCAGCTGTTGGGCAAAAATGAAGTGCACAGACCACAGACCACTTCTATGTTTTGTGGGCGGGTACAGGAACTATTTTTGTCAGGAAGCCAGCCCCACAGACGTGCGGGGTCCCAGTCTTCGCTGCCAGCAAGGCTGTTTCCATGTTGTTTTATGCCGCCGAAAAGGGGCACGGATGCGCTGAATATTACAAGGGAGTGGAATCCCTGAGATCCGCAAATTACCCGGGTTTTGTGGCTGCAGAGAAAGGAGTCTTCCAATGGATTCCGCTATGAATATCGATGCTTCGTGGACACGTATCACATATCCGATAAATCCAAACGGGTCCTCAATTTAAAGCCAATCGCGTGAGACCAGAATCAAGTGCATAGGCCAAGGGTCTCGTGTTTGCAACTGGGTTTCCAGATTTTCTGTTTGGACTGGATTGAGGTTGTGCCAGACCGAATTGCGGCATTGCTTCAAGGAACAGGGTGCTTAGCAAGTGCTTAGCCGCCATGGTTGCGACCCACCCATGGTCGTAAGTCCTCAAAGAGGGTTATAGCCAGGGCTACGAACCACTGATCAAGTACCCTGCCCCTTTAAGTGGGCTTGGTGTTTCTACGTTTCATGTGGCCAATGGACAGGTTTGGACAGCGCTTAAGCAAAAAAAACATCAAGGCCCCAGGACGCTTCCCCATTCGCCTTGAGGGGTTGTGCTCAAGGGAAATCAAAGAGAGCCACCCATCGCAGCACCCCCTATTTGCAGAACCATATCGTGTTTGGAAACCAAAGTTGCAGATACCCCTCTTATAGGGCCAGGGTGCTTAGTAAGTTCTCAGCAACCATGGCTTTAACCCACTTACCATGGTTTCAAGTCCCCAAAGTGGGTTGTGGCCATGGTACCTCACCACTTACTAAGTACCCTGCCCCTTCAAGAAATTGCCCCTATTGACGCGGTCAAACACACCTTGTCTTTTGGCCTCAGGGCTGGTGATGAACCTCTTAATGGGTGTCCGTGTTTTCTTCGAGGCTACCCTGTTTAGGGCTGGGTCACTATGCGCACACAAACCCTAAAGGTTTGGACAACCATAGGGTTCCCACTGCTAAAATGGCCACGGCTCTTTCAGGCTGTCGCCTTGCTCTCGGCCTGGGGAAGGCTCGCTGTGAGTTGAGCGGGCGCGCGGGAGGAGGGGCCGGCAGTGCGATGGGTGGTGCGCAGAACCTATGGCCTTTGTAAGGGGTTTTGTTGACCCGTACTTGAAGGCTTGTAGCAAAGGCCTATCTGATATGCATGAACTTGGATTCTCAACTTGGTGGAATCAAGTCCGGGTGTTTGTGGCAGAGAGCTGCATGCCTTCTTACTAGCTTCTTGATGTAAGGGCATTGGTTGGTTGGCTGGGTGGGTGGTTTGGTGATTGGATGGGCTGGGCGGGTTGGCGTTGCATCACTGGTTTCAAGCCA